GGGGAAGAATAGTTAAATCAAATCAACATTTCAGAATTCCGGTTAATATTTCACGAGATAGGTCAGATAATGTACACGTGTCGCATCCAATTCACCTGCTCACATTGCCGAAGTACTTTCTCCAATCGCATACGCCCATTCGGTCATATGAGTTTCTATCGCAGGGAATAAAGTAAGTTAAACCGTAGCAACTGCGATCTTCAGGCCCGGTTCCTTAGAAGAGAAATCATGGGAGGCCAGAGGTGAAGAAGAGTTTATTCTGTACAGACCTGTACGACACCTTCATTTAATCTTTAATAAAACAGTATTCTGGACCGCACAACCACATCAAGGCTGTCTATGAACGCACTCAAAACCACCACCACCCCACTCAAACATGATATTTATTTCCGGCAGTAACCGTACGATGCATTTGGCTGTCACCAGTACGGCTGGCGTAGCGTCACCTCTGAGAACATGCTTTATGATACGTTCCGGTTAAGGAAGTTATCAGGGCCTGTTTGGGGCATATAGGCGAGCTATGTAACCTTAACTGTCTCTACGTTATATTTCATCACCAGCGCATGCTCATGCTATCCTACCATTACCTATGATAAAGGATTCTCGACAGAATCCGAAACGTCATGAAAATAACACTCGCATCTTCTTCTTTGCGAACTACGAGCCAAGTTATTGCGCGTCATTAGAAAGATGGTATTTTAAAGCATTTTCAGATCAGTTCAGTTTGTTTGAGGGAAATTTAGGTGCGCATCTCTGAACTTCCCATGTGTTATACGCAGCGGAAGTATATCAAAAGTTTGGAAAGAAGGATATTAAACAACTAAAACGGTAATATCGAAAAACCGTACAGAAAAACGAACTTTTCAAGGAAAGGCGTCCTTTGGGAAAATGAAGATATCTATTCAGTAAATTTGCGACACTGGATCCCCAGGTCGTCGTCAGACTTGAGAATAGATATCCTCATTTTCCCAAAGGACGCCTTTCCTTTAAATTACATTTCTTGGGATGTCTGCCTTCCAGTTCATACGAAACAATAAACGAACTATTTCAAGCGCCAGCAGCACCGTAAAAAAAAACATACGCATTTGGATGGGTAGTACGGCAATTATTTTAACTGCACTTATGCTACAGAGTGTGTTACGATCAATATGGTCTGTAAGCGCCGTGCTGCATGTGAGTAAGGGCGTGCACTAAGGCGGCGACGATAAGCATTCATAACCGTTACTTAAATATTTAAAGTAGCGTAATAATGGTAATAAATAGCGATGCCGGTCGCCCGTTCCTATATGCTTCTCCTATGCGGACAATTCGTGGATCCAGAGAAAACCGCTACTGAGTCCTGATCAGTAGGCATTATGCTTACCTTTAACTCTCAGCAATTTTTCTCTAAAATGAAAAAGAACGCTAGGCCGGCCGCCCCCACACGCCCTGTTTATACCCACCGGTCAACAGCTTTTTTGCTTGAAATGTTCTTATGTCCCACAAGCTTATGCAACCCTCAATAACTTTACGTTCAGGTACCCGGAATGTCACCTTAATTTTCACCTACACTTTTACCACTGCACACTCACAGGTGATCGCGAGCGTGATGTCTATTTCGACAACTTTGGTGAACTGACGATCAATATACGAATAATTATGTTCAACTGTTCGTGGGAGTCTTGAACGGAGGACTCAATTCCGAATATTGGGCATAAGCAACCGATCAGCGCATATCTTTTGAACGTCAAGTTCGTGCTTTCTAGTCGACGCCATTGATCGTTTTTTATACTCGAAACACCGGTCAGAT